AAGGATGTCTGTGAGGTTAGGTCTTGCCATGTGGACCTCTTCAAGCACCTCTGTGCAGTTAGGGTACACTTCCACTTCTGGCAAGAGGGTGGCTGGATTTAAGAGAGAGGCTTTAAGAAACCTTATAGGAGGTTGATTCAGTAGAAGGGCCTGACACTGGTGATTGATTATTGGTGATCCACCAGTCAGCCCTTTTAGTCAAAAAGGGTGTAGTGATCATTGCCCTGTTGCATGGGGGCCATTCAGATGCCACAGGGCCTGGTCTTTTAGATAAGTAGACACTGGGCGGTCCCAGGACCTCAATTTCTGAGTGAGGATTCCATGGGCCACTCCAGATCACTCATGCACAAAAGAAGGAAGGCTATTTTTGCAAAGCCTCAAATTCACAGTCTGCAAGCCAACCATTCCCATGAATTCGTACTTGGCACTTGTGGTAGCTGTGGGTATGGTAGTGATGGGTTCCTGCCTTGGGTACTGGCAAGAGAGGGATGTTCCACAGGGACTGGCACCTGGTTAAGATTCCCGCTGTTAAGAGCCATTTGATGTGCGGGCTGATTCTTGCCTTAGCATCCCCAGTCATGGGTTATTGTTTCACCTGGATTGGTGAGGCGTCAGCCCGAAGTTGCAAAACTACCAGAGGCTGGTGTCTGGGCAGTCCGAGTGGATTGTTCTCTGCCTGTACCCTGGCGAAGGTCTGCTTGAGCAATCCCAGGTACTCGTCCATCGTGGTCTGTGGGTGCTCCTTGGTCTGTAATAAATACTCTTCAGACGGGACAGGGCCTGCGGGACACACAAGCAGGGCCCTGCAGGGAAAGACGAACCTGGATGGGAGAAAAGACACGGAGACGTGGAGCAAGACAAAACTGATCAAACTCCATTTATTTGGGCAAAGCTGGGGCATATAAAGGGGAACTGGGAGGTGCATATTTTAATAAGGTGTGCTACATAACATCCAATCCAACATGTACATTAATGAAGCATAAGAACGTTAACCAATCAGCTGCAGGTAAAAAGGCGCGCGCTAGTTCTCAAAGACGTCCTGCATGCAGACTAAGGTTCATCAGGCTTAATGCAAGGTCCATCTTAGTCCAATGAGCGCTCGGCATTATTAACCAATGGGTGAAAAGGTCAACTCTTACAACCGCCCGTGCTACAGAGCACGTAGCTAGGAACGTGGAGGTAGGGTTGGGCAGGAATTGAGGCGGGGCCAGTCCCCCACAGGTTTAGCAAATGAAAGACAACACTTAATAACCAGGAAGCAGCCAAGTTCGGCTCCGTGGCTGAGGCTAAGGCCTTAATGGCCACCGGCTCCCAACATTACACCATCCGACGCCTCCCCTCACCCATCCCTGCCCGTCCATTCTTGAAGGTGATAGTACCACAAAGCTTTTGAGGCCCAACAGTGGTTAGGGCATTAAAATGCAAGAGCGAGTTACAGTGTGGTTCTCCCAGGTGGACAGATCTCTGTGTGGTCCAGTGACACTGAGAAGTTTTTCCTGTGGCTCCCTGGACCACCTTGGAGGCCAAGGACATTCATCCCAGAGGTGAGGTTAGGATAGCATGAGTTGGTCCTGTGTCTACTAAAAACTAATTGGCTTGCCCCTATTTTAACAGTGACCCAGGGCTTGTCAGGGCTGATGAGGAGTGAGCCTGGGCCACCCTTTTTTTTTTGCCATCTAGACTAAGAATCGGTGGTGGGGAGGGCTGTCTTTTTCCTGATTTTTGTAGAGGGCACTCTTTTTTTTTTCTTCAATGCCCGTCTTTACACTATGCGCTTTGGTGTCTTTTAAAGGGTCACGTGTTCTGAATCTGAGCCCTGTCTTTGGTTTCATAGGCTTCTGAAGGGTTTGACCTGTTTTCTTTAAGACTGCTACTATAGCTTGGACTACAGCCTTTTCACTTGTTTTTTTTCCAGGCAACTTTGTATTATTATAAACCTTTTGAGCAATTTCTATTAATTCTAATGAATTTTTCTTCACACCTTTCTAACTTGCAATTTCCTTTTTATGACTGGAGCAAATTGAGGTACAAAAGCCAAATGGACCGCTCTGAAGTTCACGGGGGCCCTGGATCTAGGGGAGTATAGGTCCGTTGGGCAACTAGCAGTCTCTTTTTTTTAAAGGCAGTGGGGGACTCACTTTATTGGGTGACTCTTGTCATCGTTGATAAATTTGTGGGCTGATGGACGGCACCCCTAATCCCATTAGTAAATACCATTGATAGTTCAGTAAGCTGTGGAGCCCTCCTGAAGTGTTTAGGTCCCAATCTGGCCTGACCAAGGGAAATCATTTTTAAAATTTCTTTCTATGTCCTTCCCACTACCACCACCCTGTGGGGGCCCAACACAGCCTTTTGGGCCTCCTGGAGAATACAGCTGTGCTCTTTTGATGTGAAAAGCACAACCAACATTTAATGGCAATCAAAGTGTTTCTAGGAAGCAAAGATGGGTTATCCATTCAAAAAAACACATTCTGGTTCCCAAACCTCTGGGTGAAACCACTCAAAGTTCTTTAAAAAACAATACACAAAAGTTTTAAATCCATAAAACAGAAATGTTCCGTTCTGCCTGAAATGTATTTACTTTTGCCAACAATTTAAACCTGCCAATAAAAAGCCCTAGACCCAGAGGTACTCGCACGGTAACTTTCTGGACCCCACCCAGCAAGCAGGGAACAACTTTGAGGGTTCGAGAAGCGGAAGGCGGAGTCACCGGTGCGTGTGGGGCGGAGTCACCGGCGCGTGTGGGCGGGGTCACCGGTGCGGGTAGGCGGGGTGACCG